GCTGAACGATGGCTGAAAGCAATGAATCTGAGACAAATCAGTGCCCTCACTGAACTGAATGGGAATCTGCCAGCTCACACCAGGCAAAGAGCTGGCCTGAAAAATACACTCAGCAATGTGACGGGGAAAAAAGGAGGAGAATCCAGGTACCCATTGCACTGCAGGAAATTTCAAATGTGTTTTCCTCATTCCAAAACAAAACCAAAGGCTTTAAAGCGAGCATGATGATGAGAGTTTTGAGTTTCAGTCAAGTGGGATACGTCCAAAGACTTTCATTACTTTCTGTCCACCTGGATTCGAATCCTTGGAGCCTCACCTTGAATTCCAGGACAAAAGGAAATGTGGTTTGTGGTTTGTGCCCTGGCTGAAGAGTAAGGAGATGAGAATCCAAACCTTGGCTCTGCCACAGACTCTCCTTTGAGATCGGAGGTGAGGCGTTGAATATCCCTGTGCGTCAGCTCCCAAGAATGAGGACAGCAGCCCTACCAAGCTTTTATGCCAGCTTACGTGATATTTTGTTCTATCTAAAAATGTAGAAATTAAGAAATAAAAAAAAAAATCAAGGTGTCCCAGATTCACTCACTGCTTCCAAAAATACAGATCATTGCCTATTACAGAGAGGAGCAAATAATGTCACTGTGCTGCCATTGCACCCAAGCAGAGGCAGAATTCAAGTAGCCATCTGCCAGGTGGTATCTGGCAAGGGATAGCCAAGCTTTTGAAGAGGGATGGCCAAGCATCCATGGAACACCATGATAGCAGAGAGTGGATGCATACACCCCTAGATGTGCAATTAAGCTACGTAGGTGGAATTAGAGGGGGCAACAAGGGATAAATTGCCTTGGGTTTCCAAAATGTTTGATGTTTAGCAGGCAATGCTCAATGCTTACCCCAATACCTTCCATTCCTGTTCCTCTCTCTATGATGATCCTCTTTTTTATGTGGCTGTATGAGGAAGCTGATTCAGCTGAAAAAACAAACTTCCTCCAAAAAGGCTCTTTCTCAAGCTCACCAGTTGCCCCACTTGGTCCTGCCCAAACTTGCATGCTAAGGAGAATCTGAAATAGCAAATTAATGATTTAATGTGCTAAGAAAATCGATCTCTGCACATGGGTCCTGTTACCACCGTCCATTTCTGCTTCTTGGCTAAACTGTATTATCAAGAACATAGATGTATGTTGAACTCACTCCTTCTCTTAGGTACAGAGGTGCCCTCCGGGACCGGATAAGATGCAACACACAGTCAGGAGTCCCTGGGACTCCATCTTCTCCTTGTCTGAGAGGTGCGATATTACTGCTGCCTCCTGAAATCTCCCAGGTAAGCTATTCTGGCTGCCTTTGAGCTGGCAGAACAGAACAACGCTGCATTCAGTCTAGTTCAAACATAGGTATGTTCTTGGAGTGTTAGTGAGATCAGATCTGCGGGAAGAAGCCCTCAAGGAGTGCTTTGGGAAAGCAGGAGCTGTCTGCAGAAGTGTGCATCCCACAGTTTAGAGAGCTGCAAGAGGGAGGCATCCCTGCATGCAGATGGCAATGGATGCTTACTTATCTCAAGATCCTCTTCTGATGCTGTTCTGAAAGCTGTAACACTGGATGCAGAGGGGGGCAGACAGAACTCCACAGCGGAAATATGAGAGGCAGCCCTCAGGCTGCACAGCAGTCTTGGCACAGAGCTTGAGTGAGTATCTAGTGCAAAGTAGCTCTAAAACAGCCATAGGGTCAAAGGCCTCATTTCCTGTAACCTTTGTGGTTAAGAGCTTCCCTGGAGAGATGGGACTCTCAAGTCCTGAACTGCTGCTCGTTGACCTCGGCCAGGGGTTTTATGCTGGAACTCTCTCCTTTCCCAAACATCCTACACCACTGGGCTCTCTGCTGGGCTGTCCCACAGCTGAAGGCTGCTGCAGTGCTCCTGGAGTAATATTGGCTGTGCAAGAAGATTAGAGCTGGGCAGCTTAGTCCCAGCTCTTGCTCTAGTGGTTTTTTGATACTTTTAGATAGAGTGAAGTAGAACTAATGGAAGAGATTTCAGTTTCCTTTTTCACCTTTCATATACCAGGCAGTAACAAACAACTAAATAAGGAAGACTGAAGAAGTCTCATCCTTTGACAACTGTGTGATGTGCCTTCCTTATGACACTCAAAACAGATAAACTAGTCAACATCTACTGTACTGTAATCACCGATCCTTGATACCTGAGCCTCAAAGGCTACAGGGAAGATGCAATGTCTACAAAAGCCTCAGTATCCCTATCTTGCAACTCTAAATCACCTGGATTGGATTAACAGAAATGCTTGTTGGAAGGGACCTCTTAACATCTCTTGTCCAACCTTCAGTCTTAAAACCAACCCAAAGTTAGGTCAACCATGGCTTTGCCTACCCAACTCTTGAACACCTCTAAAGATAGAGAACCCACCCCCACCACCACTCAAGCAAACTATTTCAGTTCTGGGTACCTTCTTAGTGATCACACCATCATCAGTAAGCACATAACACTGTATCCTAGCTGTTAGGTAGTTCATCTAAATAGCAATTGTGTGTTTAATCTGTGATCAGTTTCCAGAGACATTTAGGACTCAGATGTTATCAAAAGATGCCCTCCTCCATCCACTAACTCTAGAAGGAGATTGGATGTTCAAGTTCATCAGTAGTTTTCCTCTTCTATATGCCATCACCATCACTTTGACCACTTTGGCTAAAATTCATAATGTTCTCTTATGGCAACAGTTTTTGATTCACGGGCATAGAAACATTGGCTGAAGGCCTGGAGTGGTCACTCAGGATTTATTGTGCACCAAGTCACAACAATTATGCCCCAATTCTGTATGTAGGGGATTGGTGCATATTAATTCTGAGAATTGTGTTGCCCTTCCCAGATTTATTTCCTTTTTCCATTTGTGCTGAGGGAAGAAGCAATGGGATTAAGTCCTCCATATGGCTGAGAAGAGCACAGCTTCATATGTCCCTGGGTGATTAGCACAAATAGAAACCAGACCCCAGTTTCCATATCAAAGGATGATGGGACTGGACCTAACCACTTTTCACATTGAGTTATGAAGCTTTTGTGCAAAGACTAGGCATATAAGCCTTAGCCAAGAGATGCGATTATGCAGATTGCCCTCTTTTGTTCTATTACTCCTCAGCCCCTGAGAGAGTCTAAAGCAACTTAAGACTCCTGGAGCATGTAGGGGTGGGCAAACCACAGAACAGAGTTTGAGTTAGTCTGTTCACAAATACCTTACAGGACTATTATCTCATGTGCACAGGGCTGCCAAAGATATCTGGATGGCAGCTCTTCTGCTGAGTGGTTAGCTCTTTTCCAAATTGCATAACCCTCTGTCTCTGACCAAATCAGAGATGCTCTGAATTGCTGAGTGCTGAGGAGTCACACAGGTACTGCCAATGGAGGGATTTTTTTCTAAACAGTATTTTACATCTCTTAGGAAAGGCCAAAGAAGGATTAATTGTGCCTTTGGATTGGGGAATCCCTTGGAAATGAGTTTGATCCGACTATCTATTGCTGATAATCGCACTGACTCTTTACAGCCTTGACTGTACTGCTGTAGTGTATCAATCAAGATAATTATTCCTCCTTTTGACTATGCTATGTGGGATTGAGCAGAGATTTTTCTACAGAAGATGAAGCAGCAGACAGATTTATTACTTGGGCAGCTCAAGACAGCTTTTTCCAAGGCCAGGACTCAGTATGGATCCATGTGATATCTGAATGACAGAGGATTAGCTTCCTCTCTGCCACAACCAAAGGAAGAAAGAGCCTTGCAGTTGAGGAGTCAGACCTTAAAACACAACCAATCTCTATCATTTCATTCCTTTGCTCTAACAAAGTGACTGTGGTAAAGAGCCCAATGTCTGCTTCTTGGTTAGACACAGTCACTGCCTCCACAGCCCTACTAACACTGCTGCTGCCAGTTAAGAGAGGTCAGTGCAAAATACTGATTGTCTCATACAGAAAGGTTAGAAAATAAGGTGTGAGATCAAGACCAGCTGGTAGATAGCACCAGATTCCAAGGTAGGCAGGTGGTCTAAACTATAACAGAAGGAAATGCCTTTGCACATATGGTCTTTAATGAGGCACTAATTGGGCACTGGGTGAACAGGACAAAGAAGTACAGAGGATGTGGCTTGAGGTTTTGGCTGATGTGAAGTTGGAGGTCTGGAATAAAATGAAAGGTGGGGTTTTTACAACTCTTTTCTGTGATTTCCAGCAGGATAGGGACACCAGGAGGGCAGGCACACCTACTCCAAAGTCACAGCTGACTCTAAGAAGCTTTTCCTAACCTGGTAATGCAGTCTCCGAGTACTCCTGCCAGTAGGAATAGGGATCTCTAAGATGCAAGGGTGAAGGTGAGAGGCAATCTTGCTTGCCCTCTTTCTCACATACAGTTGCAGAAGGGACAGGATGCCCACCCAGATCTCCCTGGGTGGGTGCAAGATGCCTCAATATATACAGCCCTGGTGCCAATAATTAACACATGTGAGACTGATGAAAGAAGTCAATGAGGGATGATTATTTTGCTGCCCTCATGAGAGTTTCTTCTCCCTCCAGTCCTACATCTGGTAGCAATTTTACAGCTCCAAATAGAAAGGAAGTAGATGAGAGGGGCTTAGTCAAGCTCAGGCCCATATGAGGAGAGCAGAGACAGTATGCTAGAAGGAAACAGACGGAATTTGGGAAAGCTGTTTTGCTTCCCATAACACCTGCGTTCTGCTGCAAAAGATGGAAAGGTGTATGGATTTTTTGTGTGATCTCCCATGCGTTACTTGGGCTTTGGGTATGGCAATAAGGGCTGTAAAGCCATGAGTGTAATTCTTGCACCCTTCAGACCCCTTGAGTTTCCAATATATTGTGCTATATAATCTAACTCAAAAAGCAGTTTCTTGGGCTGCCTCACTCACATGCTCCAACCTAAGCATTGCAGGGTTGAGGGGAAGGGTTGGGATTGTCCCAGCCATGCAGTCTGATTTGCTGTGGGAACACTCACCATGCACCTTGGGCACCTTGGCTTTCAGGTGTCGCTCGCACTTGGCCTTGGCTTTTAGCAGTAGAAAGATCTGCTCCTCTTTGGTGATGACATCATCAGCATCCACCTGCAGCGATGGGAAGAAATGAGGTTAAACCTCAGCATGGAAGAGCAGCAGGACACAAACTACCGAGATAATGCAAGTGTGATCTGAATGCAAAATCTCCATTGCATAATCAGTTTTCTCTACCAGCCTTGCTCTTCCCATCTTATTTCAGCAATTGGTGTCCCAAGCAACAGCTTCTGCAAGATGCCACATGGAAACACCTGTGCACATGGCAAAGGAAGTGTACGTTCCAATTGCTTATATCTAGAACATGCATGTACCCAGGAAGGGAGAGATTTCTTGGGTAGCATACCTCAGCTAGGAGAGATGAGGCTATTCCCCAAGGGAAAAAAGCATAAATAATATTGGCGCAGCATTTTTTAAACACTGGTCTTTTGGAGACATAGAAGTATAGTTAAATATAGCACTTAGAGAATGGCAAAGCAATGCTGTGCTTCCTGACATCAACCTCTTGGATAACACTGTCAAGGGTTAAATCATCAAAGGCTTCTCCCTTTAACAATCACAGCTTGGCATCAGTTTCCAACTTCTCATTCAGGCCTTCAGCCACGAGGCATCAGGTTCTATCAACATCGTTAGAGGAGTTAATGAGCTGACAGCATCTGTCTGTAAAGACTGAGGAACATCATCCTCCAGAGGTCAAGCTACAATAATGAGGAAGGGGTACAGGCAGAATTCTTTACCCCAGAAACTACTTGCTGATACAAGATGTACAAGGCCCTCCAAGGCACTTGCTGGTTATGAAAACCCATTCTGCATCATGAAGATGGTGCATTCCCACTAGGCAAGGCTGCCTTCTGAAAGTATTGAGCAGGCTGGACCTACAGGTCCTTTGGTTGTTATAGCATGTAGAGTTTTGACCTAATACAACACGGCTGCTTTCACTGGGAAAAAATTCTATACTCAGAAAGTGATGAGGCACTGGCACTGCTGCCTGGAGTGGTTGTGGATTCCCCCTCCCTAGAGATGCTCAAGGCCAGGTTGGATGGGGCCCTGGGCAACCTGATCCAGTCGGTGCCAACCAGCCCATGGCAGGGGGTTGGAGCTGGGTGATCTTTGAGGTCTCTTCCAACCCAAGCCATTCTATACCCACCTTACCCTTTAGGTGTTCTATGATCTGCAGTGAGTAAGGACAACTGTGGATGGTATCTACCCACTAGCATGCCTTCCTATTGAACAGATACTTGTGAGATCTTTCAGGTTTGGGTCAACCGTGCTTTTCTGTCACATACAGCAGAAGAGTCTCTGGGATATTGGGGCTAGGATCCACAAAATCACCTCAAAAGCTAATTTAAAGAATGAAAGATCCACATACGGTGCCCCCGAGAGGCAGCTGGTGGCTGAGGTACTGGACTGAAAGAAGAAAGTGATGTAGTAAGTTGGATAAAATCACTGCTCCCCTCACCGCCTCCATTTCCCTAACATTAGTCTGCTTTGATTAGACTATGAAAGCAATAGGAGCAGCAGTTATGTTCCTCTGGATTTACATAAAACTTAGCAGTAACTTGTGATAGTGTAATGTAATCAAGAAGGGCTCCTGTATTGTGTTATAGAAATAAACTGTTGTTTTGTTTGTTTGTTTGTTTTTTAATATATAAACTTATATTGGCTGCTGGTGAGATTGGCACCACTGTACATCTGTAATGCTAAAACTTATGGCAGCACTCCATATCCTGATGGATTGAGCAGGTCCAAAGTACAAGCAGGCAAAGGAAAACACAAGAAAGAGAAGAAGTGAATTGCGGATGAGAAAGAAACCTGTAGACAGGTTGTAGAGTCTGCCTAGAGTCTGAAGCAGGGCAAGAATGTTATTTCATTGTATTCCCCCCAAACTTCCATCTTCAGAACATAATAATAATGGTTTACTTAGCAGTAAATGCAGATTCTAGTTCACATGCTCTCTATAGAGGGGAACAGTGGATGTTTGAGCAGCTGATGTAGTAACAGACACGCAGATGGGTATCTAGATCTGATAATGGGATTCTGAGTAAAACAGAAGTTAGTTTTTCATGTTCTTGGAAAAAAATCCACATTAAAATCCCTCGTCAAACCACATTAATGTTAATGCAAAAGAAAGCCACCCCTTTCCAGATGTTTGGCCACTCCAATTTAAGGCAATATCCAGCATTTCAACTCTTTCATTGGAAACATAAAACCTTTGGGTTAAATCCTGCTGTCATTTATAGCTGCACAAATCCTGAATGATTCCACCAAAGCCAGAGGAGTTAGTCTGGATTTATAGTGGCTGAATGGAGCAGAGTGTGACCTCAGGCATTTCAAATAATTCATCCCTTCTGTGCTTCACCCTGAGACTCCTTCAGCCATTCTTTGTGAGGGGGCAGCTCCTGCCAGCAGGATGTATGGTCTCCAGGCCAGGCACAGAAAATAAATTTTATTTCCCAGAAGCAAAGCTGAAGCACCAAGCACTGTGCCCAGAGAAGAGTAGAAAAGCTAGAACAGGGCTTGGAACTGAATCTGGGCTGATATGAGTACAGAGAGAAACGTTTGAGTTTTTGCTGATTCTAGGTGTCCCTGTTTGAGCAGGGTGTTGGACCTCCAGAGATCCCTTCCAACCTCAACCCTTCTGCGATCCTCCTTGGCTGAGGAAGACGAAACGTTCATGTAAATATGCACATGAAAAAGAATAGGTATTTTCATTAAGTCCTCTGGCTTTAAGGAGACAAGTGGTGGCATCAGCCCTGGTGGTGCTCAAGAACCATGAAGACGTAGCACTGAGGGTCAGTGGGTATGGTGGGAATGGGTCAATGGTTGAACATGGTGATCTCAGTGGTCTTTCCCACTCCCTTTCCCTTTCCCATTCCCTTAATGATTCCCCGATAATGCCCTCAGTAATATTCTTTAGCTTTTGATTAGCCCCAAAGAGCTCAGGCAGTTGGACCAAATTGCCTTCAGATCCCTTCCAACTAAACCATTCAATTTCAAGAAAAATCTAAAATGCTGTTCTTTTGCTGCTGAATAATTCATGTTAAACACCTACAAAGCAAAACTGGTCCAACTGTTGGATACAATGGCTAAATGCAGTCCTGTGAACAGCAAAAAATATGCAGCCATGCTTTCTGTTGCTGTGATGGAATTTGGGAACAAGTTTTAAGACTGTAAAAAATTATCTTTTTTTTTTTTTCCAGTATATTTGACCATTATGCTGACCATTTTCAGTCAGCATAGATACACAATGTGCAAGCTTTCAAATGGCATGGATAGAGCTGCAATCAGACATTTAGCTCAGAAGTCTGATCAAGCCTCTCTACTAGTCTTTCATAAGCCCTATCTTAACAGAGAGGAATATCCCTCACTTAACAGTCATGCCTTATTCACATCATCTAGTTGCAAAATAGATAGACTCAAGAAATTAGACCTATTTCAATCAGACTTAGCAAAGGTTCCTTTTTGACAAACAGTCTTGATACCTGATCCAAATAAACTGTGAAACGGCCTTGCTGAAATCATTAACATATGGGTACATCAACTTATTTTAATCTGAATATCCCCAGGCAGCAAAATAAGTGGCTCCACTTTCTGATGCAGGAAGATCTTGAGTCACTGGCCACCAGAAACCAGAATCTGACAGCTGTAAGAACGGTCTCTAGTTCCAAAGGCTGAAAGCTCCTGGGGATGCTCTGCCAGAACAGGTCAACTCAATAAATCTATTTTTACATTCCTATGGATACTTTTTCAAGGCAATAAAACATCATATCCTGCTGTGCATCTAAAAAAAAAAATGCATGTACGCTTAAGATGTGCTATGCTCAGCACAGCCTATTCTGTGCACCTGCTCTTCAGGACCAGGCAAAGCAGATGAAGGGAAGACACCAGAAGTATTTCTTTCAAGCTATAACCTGCATAGATTTACATATTCAACACTTCCATCATTTTTCACTAAGAACCTCTCCCACCTGCCTGGAGCTCACCTATTTACAGCTCAACTCCTTAATCTCCAATTCACTGGACACACATTAGTCAGCAGAAAGGAATTATTATAATATCTCACAAAGATAAAACCTGCCTCGTTAGCCAACACAGGCCATCTATAAAAGCATTTACCCATCTGGGGTGTGTGAGTGTTTGTTTATCCAGGGTTCCTTAATACTCACTGCATACTCAACCACAGATATCAGCGGAGGTTCATGCCAAGCTACCAGCTGAACCAAGTCAGATCAGCTGTGCTTTTTTTACAATTATAAAGACATGAATCAGGTAAAGGGGTTTTTCTTTTTTAGAACCTGAAGTGAAGACAGAGCTTTTTATCCCAGAGTTTTCCCAGGTGGGGGTGATGATTTCCTTTCCTTCCTGGTGGACAGACATAAGTTCATAAGTTATGCTGTTGTCCTTTGTTATCTATCTCTAATACCTAATTCTCTTTGTAAGGGTTGCTTGGTTTCCTTCTACACACTGGACAATGGTTGCAATGATAATATTTTAGAAGCTCTCAAAGTCTTTTTCTTTGTATGTGGGAATTTAATTTATGAGAGTTAAACTTGGTTTTATTTCAGGGTGAAGCATGCCTCTAATATAGAAAGAGAATACCTTAAAAACAAATAATCAGCAAAACAAAGCCTTCCTATAAAACTTCTATTTACAGGAACGTTCTGTGTGAGGTGAGTTTCCCAATTGCTTCTATTGTTATTGGCTTAATAACAAGTATGGATCCAGGTCAAGAGCTGAGGGTATGGATGCTTTGACAGCTCTGCACCCCTGCAATGTCAGATTTTTTGGGAACAGCTTTGATTTTACTCCCAAAGCAGGTGGCACAAAACATGATTGCCTTGAAGAGTGAGAGGTTCTTTGGGCACCTGCAATCTGCACTAACAGGTCACTTGAGGAGAGCTGACAAGATCTGCAGAAGGTAGGAGCTCAATTTTCACCGGCTTGAGCTGTGAAGGCAAGAAAAGCATTTGAGGAAAGTCACAGATAGGTATATCCATCTAACTTAGTAGGATGAGGTCAGTGTGCCCCTGCAGACAGTAATCTCTGAAGAAGATCTGACAGCAAATCCTTTTCCATGAGCCCTTCCTAACGTGCTTCAGAATTAATTCCTGCATTGAGCTTATTTGACATGAAATTTATATAGACTCACAGATGTAACAGGCCTGGAAGCACACAAATAGGTCCAGGGGGACAGCTTTGCCCTGCTCTTCTGCTATTAATGAATGCATCTGAGAGTGATGGGGTCTCTTGCCTGGACTCCCCAGTTTTGCCAGTTCTCTCCCCTCAACTTCCCAGCACTGTTTTGTTTTCTTTCTTTGTTGTTTTTTTTTTTTTTAATTATTATTATTATTATTATTATTATTATTATTTTTTTATTTTTTGTCAGAAATAAAGAAAGTTCCCTGTGGGGAACAGATTTGAGTTATTTTCTCTTCCCTTTGTTCAGAGAATGCAAAAATACAAAGCAGGAGACAGGTCAAGCTGGGAAGGGTGAAATGACAATGCTATCCAGAGCCTGTTAAATATCTTTTTATTATTATTTATTATTATTATTTTTTCCCTCTCTTCCTTTGCCCCCAGAGGAGGCCACAGGCTAATTATGATAATGTTTTCTTGTATTTCCATTTCGTTGGCTGATCTCCCAGCCACTAAAGTAAACCCCAAATCTCAACGGGGAGGTCATATTCATCCTTGTTTATGGGACTCATTTTCAGAAATAACACTATCCTTTTTGTGAAACTTCCCTGGCAGCAGCTCAAAAAAATAGCTGAAGGCAAACAGATTCCTTGGTCAGGGTTGAGAGCATCGCAGCTGCTGGATGAGCCCAGTGCAAGGGACTGCTGGTGATCACCACCTTGGAGGGCAGTAGGCTGGGTAGCTGGAGAAGGGAGAGGGGTATGAGAAAGAAGGGGTCTGTTGTGACAGGACAAGGGGAAATGGTTTCAAACTGAAAGAGGGGAGGTTTAGATTGGATATAAGGAAGGATTTTCTTATGATATGAGGGTGGTGAGGCACTGGCACAGATTACACAGAGAGATGCCCCACACCTGAGTGCACTCAAGGTCAGGCTGGGTGGGGCTCTGAGCACCTGATGGAGCTGTAGACATCCCTGTTCACTGCAGGGGAATTGGCCCAGATGGCCTTTGAGAGTCCCTTCCAACTCAAACAATTCTACGAAAAGGTAAATATGAAAATGAAACCCGCTCTACTAAATTTTGGAAGAATCAAAATACCTGTTCAGATCAGGAGGTTAATCCAACAATGTTTAACCTAGGACCAGACCAGTGGCTACTACAGATGAGCATAATTCTGCTGAGAGCACCAGGCGGGTTAGAGGTCAGCCTGGGGTGCTGTGGCCTGGCAATGCAGACACATGGCAAATCTAAGTCATGCCCCAAAGTAGCAATTCAGCTGCCTCTGACAGAAGCTGATGTGGCCACTCTACATAGAGTGAGGCAAATTGTTACCACAGAGCTTGTGGTAACACTGGGTTGCTCAGAAGAAGGAAAATTTGGCCGCATGTAGGAGATCGGGAGCACAAAGTGTTGCATGGATCAGTAATGGGGTAGCAATGTAGGATGGGGGAAGAACTGAGGTTCTGACATCTGTTTTTATCTTGTTTTTCTTTTTTCTTTTTTTTTTCTTTTAATGAATGGGTTTAAGTGAGAAGGGAGCGACCCTCTGTTATTTTGTCATGGCATTCAGGTATCTTGTTTTTCTCTTTTTATCCTGTGCCTCTGCAAATGAGTATTTGTGCAAGCCTGCAATTCCTGACCACTGGGCCCTGCTGATTTACTGATGAACCCTGTCAAGTATAGAACCAGTAATTTGTACACATTCTCTTGGACAAACTGTACCTTGTGCAATCTCTGTTAGTAGATCTGCCAGTCCTATAGCAAAGTGGGATCTGCCAGGCTGCAAAATCTAAATGTGATTCATACAAGAGGAGAGGATCTGGTACTTCAAATTTCAGTGGCAGCTGACAGCATCTCCTTCATGGAGGGACAGAGCAAAGTAAATACAGACAAATGGTGCTTATTCTATTCCAATTTGGGCAAGACTGGACTTTCGTGTGTTGCTGGCTTTTTTTTTTTTTCCCACTGCACAAACATTTTAATTCCCTTTTCTTATTTACTGCTACCTCTGTGCATCTTCTCTGGCTGCCTGAGATTATCATTACTCTGTGTAAAAACTATGCAGAAACAACAAAAAATGCACTGGGAGCAAGCTGCTGCAAACAGGTTCTGCCTCAGGAGAGACTGGGGAGTGGGACTTGTTCTGCCTTGAGGGACTTAGTTTACCTGAATACACATCATTTCCAACTTTAAAAGAAAAATGTGGTTTGCAACTAATTTCCTGTCAGGTTAATGCTGGAAAGATTTAAAAATACATAAAGCTGGAGTAACAGTTGGTCCAGACAGAGATGCACTAGCCACATCAGCGGCATAATCCATTGCCAGCTGTTAATGGCAGAAGCTGTGGGAATGGAGGCTGTGATAAGCTCAGGACATCAGGGTGTTGAGGAAGATGGTGGGAAGAAGGTCAATTCATAGCACAAAGTCCTACTCTTGGATTTTAGAACTGATAGCCCAGAGATGTGATGGATGCCCCATCCCTGGAGACAATGTCAGGCTGGATGGGGTTCTGAGCACCTGATGGAGCTGTGGATGTCCTTGCTCATTGCAGAGGAGTTGGAGTAGATGGTCTTCAAGGGTCCCTTCCAACTCAAGGGACTCTATGACTCAGGTTCACCTATGAAAAGAAGTCCTGGTGGGTGCTCAGCTGAGCACTCTGTATGGTTATTCTACCATGTACATGTGTGTCCCGCACTCCATTCCACTTACAGAGCCAGTAAATAAATTCTAGGAGATGGCTTAGTGCTTTTAAAGGCTGAGATAATGAAGATTGGTCTGGGATAATAAAATAGTATGGCCTGAAGACAGAAGGCTGAAAGGAGGGGGATACCCAAGAGAGACCTGGCTAAGAAGGAGATTGGGGTGAGGTAGTTGATGTGAGGGGGAAGAAGAGCTGATGAATCCTGCTGAAGTGGGATGCTGTCCAGGGGCTGGGGAAGCATAGAGAGGTGAGCACATGAGATGTTCTCCCTGTTATTCCCAGCCTCCCAGAGGGTAAATTAAGTTGGTGGTTTTGCCTTAATCCCTCGACCACATCACCCAAACCACTGCCTGCTCCAGAACAGCAGTAGGTCTCTGCTCCTGCTAGCTGAGCTTGGGGATCCTGTGCTGCATCTATGGAAAGCCGAATAGCTTCCTGCTGTGCTTAGAGACATATCAGTGCTTCCCAAGACTGCCCTCATCAGGCTGGCTGCAATCTGCTCTCCATCCTGCTCTCAGAGCCTGATATTCTGTGGTTAAGAGGTCCCCACAAACTTTTGAGAACTTTCCTGTTTATCGCTGTCTTGATGCCCTGCTGGGAGAAGACCATCTAGTTCCAACCTCTTGCACATTTTCTAATGCAATCCAGGTATCAGCGTGGATTTCCAATGACTGCTGTAATAAGAAAGATGGCAGGAATGGGAAAACAGAAGAATGTCCATGGGAAGATGTTGTGCAGAACTGGAAATGCCTCATGTGAGGAATGAATGGCATTTAAAGATCTGCAGTGTCTAACACTAGCATGGCAAAGCGAGGGCCCTGCAACTTCTTGAGTTTCAGCCAGGAAAGGATATTGATCCTGTGGGAATCTACTGTCTATGTCATACCATGTCCGCATCACACATTACTAGCACTGATGAATGCATTTCCACATGCTGTGTGGATGTATGCAATTTGTCATCACTAGGAGGGATGGAGGACACATCTGGTCCTGCAGCACATATGTCTGCTGTTCCTTGGAGAACAGTTCAGGCTGAGTTGGTCTCACTGATACACTTCCAACTTCACTTGCTCTCACTTCTCCTTGGGGAAGCTTCATCCTTCCAGCAGCACAGGCAGAAGGAGAAGAAAATCTGCTTGAATAAAGCTCAACTTCCAGACTCATCGTAACTCATGCTAAAGGGAATTAACTGATTTTAATGTGGATGGAACACAGATGTCCACTTTATTTGATGATAATGGCAAAAGATTTTTGGAGGTTGAGGTGGTACCACGACAGCAATAGAACAGGTCTTTTATCATCCTTGTCTCTTCCACACTCTTGAAGATGATTACCTGTGTGTATCTCCTTCTCTAGCCATCCTGTCATGTAAATGCCTGTCTTACTATGTCTCGTGTTTTGCAATCAGCACCTGCAGTTCATCAAGGGGAACTGACATTTAAGGTACACTTCCAGGATACAGAGTTTTAGGAGAACATCTCCCTAACTAAAGTTATTGCTTTCCTGCTTTGCATCCCTGGAGCAAATGAGGTGGAACCCAAGAGGCTGAGCTATGAGAAGTTCCTTCCAAGCAAGGACAAAACTCATGACAACTGCTTAGCTGTGCTGCCAAGCAAAAGTGGTCTTCCTGGTAATTAGAAGATGGTGTTGGTGTAGAGAGGTCAGCAGTGATCACTACTGGTTTGAGTTATATTCTTGAGTCATGAACAGCACATGTTACGCTCCACACTTGTGCAACACAGTTACTGTAGTCATGAATGATTAATCCCAACCTAAAGCTAATGTCTAATATGTTCGGATTAATTATGACCTAAGACCATCCAGGTCTTAACTCTGACTACATCAGATTCAAAATAGGCATCTGCTGGGCATCCAAGCTTGAGAGCTCAACCCACCAACTGTCCTCTCACAGAGGCAGGGACCGTAAGGTTTAAACTCAACCTAGAAAAGCTGGTGTATGCAATTCAATCTACCGAAGGATGCAGGAATGTTCCTTGGTGTCCACTTGGCAAACATGAAGCTGAATGTGATTCTTGAAGCTCTTGCGACTTGGGATCATGCTGGCTGTTAATGGAGCCTCTG